CTGTTGTTGTTGTTGTTGCTGTTGTTGTTGCTGTTGTTGTTGCTGTTGCTGTTGTTGTTGCTGTTGTTGTTGTTGCTGTTGTTGTTGTTGTTATCTGCGCATGCAGTCTTGCAAGACAGATCTAGATGAGGCAAGACTAGCCACAGTTTGCCCCTATTCTATACCACCAGCATACCACTAGTCGAGATGGCAATCGGTGCTGCCCCGTTATACCGCCAGCCACGCGGTGTGACCAACAACGATCTTTGACTGTTATAATAATTATAATCGGAGGTGTTTAATTTTAGTAAGAGTTTTACGGCACTTGCAACACAATAAGGTCATATAAGTGCCGAAGAATAGATGTGTTACAAGAGAGTAACATACACAACAAAGGAGAAGGAGAGATAAGGACGATAGATGTTTTATGGGTCAGAAGGAGCAAACCACACCAGAGCACCCGCCAACCACTCACAATCGGAGGTGTTTTAAGTCCTGTTTGACTGAACTTGAAACATTTAGGAGGCTAGCTTTGACCATGGTCAGCCCAAGATGACAGGATGTAGAAAGACGGGGATACTCAATAAAAATGTCTCACCACTCGGGAATCGAACAAACGTCTTCTCACTATGTTTGTTATAACTTATATATGTATGAGATTTGGTAAAATTTGATCCACTTATAAGCGAGATAGCCTTCAGGTGTAGGCCTGCCCCTTAAAACAAAACTAGACCATTGTATTGTTTTACGGCGCTCGCAACTGCATACGGTCATATGAGCGGCAACGGGTGGATGTCAACAGAGAAGTCCAAAAGAGAATCAGGCTTACTCTGCTCACCTCTCTAGCCTCAACAGCACAAAGTCTGCTTCGACTGTCAAGGCACTCCGGAAATAGCAGTTCACAAGAGAGTGATAAACATACAAAAGAAGTAGAGGAAAAAATGGCGACAATCAGAGTGAGGAAAGAAAAAAAATCAGCAGTTCCCTCTATGTTGTTCCGGGACAATATGAGCATGACATTGATAAATCAACCCATTTACAATTCTACTGTATATAAGAACAGGTTAATGTCCCCCCTTAGGGAATGGCCTAAAGACAACTTCAGCACCACTCGGGAATGGAACGCGCGCCTTCTGCATGCGACATTAAAGCATCCAACTGCTACACCACAAGCACCAGTCCCCTCTGCTAAAGTTAAATATGACCTCAGCTGGGTTCTGTATGTCTCACTTCCAGGGGAGGGAGTATGGCCTGTTAAGGTTATCCATATCCACACTATATCTACAGAGAGAGGGGAGAGAGAGGGGAGAGCGAGAGACAGGGTGGGAGCGAGAGTGAGAGAGAGGAAGAGAGGGTGCAAGAGTGAGGGAGCGTGAGAGAGTGGGAGCGAAAGAGAGAGAGGTTGGGGAGAGTGAGGTGAGAGAGAGAGCAACAGAAAGAGAGAGCGAGAAAGAGAGTGGGGGAGAAAGAGGGGGAGAGAGAGTCAGAGAGAGAGGGGGGAGGAGAGAGTGTGAGAGATAGCGAGGAGAGTGAGAGAGTGGGAGAGAGAGTGGGAGAGATAGCAAGGAGAGTGTGAGAGTGGGAGAGAGAGAGTGTGTGAGAGATAGCGAGGAGAGTGAGAGAGTGGGAGATAGAGAGAGAGAGAGAGAGGGGGGGGGTGAGAGAGAGAAAAAAAGACAAGCAGACACCAACACACAAACAGACAGACAGACACAGAGACACAGAGACAGACAGACACAGAGACACAGACAGACAGACAGATAGACAGAGACGGGAGCAATACAGGGTATAGAAAAGAAGTACAGTATACCAAACAGGGGCACTTGTGTTGTTCATAATAAATTATGTTTCTGGGGATGTACAACATACATGTATTTACAAACACCAAAAGACAAACCCCCCCAGAAAGTTCAAAACTCATAATATTACGGCGAAATAGGCAGTACGTGATTTTTCCCCTTATGTACGATTTTCGACTTGTATGAGTTTGTTTTAGTAGAGGTCTTTCGGCGCTCGCAACTGCATAAGGTCACATAAGCGCCAAGGGGTGGATTTCAACAGAGAAGTCCTTACAGGGAATCAGACTTAGACTGCTCACCTCTCTAGCTTCAACAGCACAAAGTCTGCTTCGACTATCAAGGCACCCCGGAAATAGCGGGTCAAAAGAGTGTGACAAACCTACAAAAGAAGTAGAGGAAAATGACGATAGTAAGGGTTAGGAAAGAAAAAGCAGCAGTTCCCTGTTTCAGTTCAGGCACAGTCAGGAGCATGACATTGTTAGATCAGCCCATTTACAATTCTACTCTGCACTTGAACGAGAAATGCCCCCCCCTCCTCTTTGGGAATGGCCTAAAGACATTTCAGTCAGCGGCACCGCCCCAGGCGTGTGTGTGTGGGGTTTGGTGGGGGGGGGGGTTAAAATTTATACAATAACTGAACAAGAGACGTAAGTAAAAGTAAAATAATACGTGGAAGTTTTAAAATACCGTCAAGGGAACCTTTTCAGACTCACTTTACACTGCTGCGTCCGTGCTCTACTTACGAAAATTCCAACCACGACAAGGACAACAGTGACAACAGCTTCTAAATTTAGGTTGCGTAATCGCTTGCCAATGGAAAAGTGTTATTTTTTTCGCAAATATCTCTCTGTTGCATTGATGGCAGCATTGCCATCTGTGTTTCCTGAAAGTTTCATGTCGAAAGGATGAAAACTAAGGAAGGAGTAGGGAAAAAACTGCATAAAAATTACATTTGACGAAAACCGACAATAATTGTGAAAGTTCACTATATTAATCCATCCTCATGTTTTTAAAGGCAATTTACCTGGAGAATAAAGTCTTTCTCAGCTGTATCCATTCTATTTTCAGACAAACAACTAGTTGATCTTCAAAAATCAGCTAACATAAAATGTGCATGGCCTGACCCAAAATCTGCAAAATCAAGGGTCGCTCCTCCCCTCGTAGAGATTGGATTCCAAGAGACAAACTATCTCCAGCTATCGGTTGGTTTGGTTTTAAACCAAAGCTTAAGCGGCTGACAGAGCGGCCGATAAAAGCACGGCCTCGACAGGCTTTCTCTGTGTGGTCGCAGAGACACTATGATACTTATCACATTGTTGACGTGCACTCTTGATAACTCGTGTCTTTAGCCTAATGCTTTGTTTCACATGGACAGGATCAGTTATCGATAAAACCTGTTATAGACCACTTGGCGTCCTCAGTTCCAAAAAAGGCAGACAGTAGAAACACTACAACGAGTGCTTGCTAACGTTGACTGTATATTTATATCTAAGCCACTCCACTGTTTCGAAAAGATCAGTATTAAAAACATGATTGTACCTTTTGTTGGTTGTATTGTTTTGATGTACCAGTATATCTTCGTGTTGGTGAGGACCTAATTCTTTAACTCTCTTCTTGTCACTTTGTTTAGAGAACTGAATTTAATTTGCAATCAACTTCATTCATCCAACATTGGAATTACACACTCAAATAGCCAAATAAATCTTTCACCACTATACCATTCCAAGTAAGTCCCTTCTAGTCTTCTAACACAGTGACCTAAATACATCACGTTGACCTTGCTCAAATTCAGGGTTACAGAGGTGGGGCTAGAGATATAAATGGCCAGACAAGACAATTGACCAATCGCTCATCGTTGTGACTGTGAGCATTCCGGCGGATTGCTCCAAAGCTATCATAATACGGACATTGAATTGTGTCGTCTGTCTTGGACTGGTCTGAGATTGCTTTATTTCTAGACCGCCTCTGTGGGCTTTGTTCGGCGGGTGGCCGAAACCTACTCATCAATTTAAAGAACCACCTAATGATCTTAAACATGCGCAACTTGCTCACGGGACCTCAGTTTAAGCTTAGATCTTTTTTGGTCTGCTCGGGGGGAGGGGAGTGGGAACTCAGGGCCTATTAAATAGTTCAGCTAAATTTTACTGAGCTGCGCTTTTGTACCAGGACATCTTTCACAGTATCGAAAATCATTGAATGCGAAGAAAGAATACAAGAAAGTACACAATGGACTCAAAATAAGCAATATGCTGAGGAGAGTTCGAGAGGTGGCAGATTTGCCTCACCTCTCTTAGTCTTAATTTACTTTACTTTTTTCTTCCGCTTGTACCGTTGGGTGTCGCGGAGAGACACAGGTGTCTGTCTCGTCTGTCTGCAGCAAGGCGAGGGGCCTGTAGGGGGGGGGGGCATCCCGTGAGCTCTGAGGGTGTCTGCTACAGATTTACTCCAGCGTCGCCTTGGTCTTCCTCTGGCTCTCCAGCCAGAGTAGTTGATGTTATATGCCCTCCGAGCTGGTTGGTTTGAAGGCATCCGCGTGAGGTGTCCGAACCACTTGATCTTCTGTTTTTCAATGTGTGGTAGGACTTGTGTTGCTCCTACCGTGTCCCTTATGATTTCATTTGTTATTTTGTCTCTTCTTGTTTTGTTAAGTGCTCACATGTGACCACTCGGGCTTTTGAAAAGGAACATGTTTGGCACTGGTGTGTGAGCTTTGGTAGGAAAATGGCGTTGATGAGCTTCGCCTTGGTGCTCATAGGGATATTGGGATGTTTCAAGAAAGGGGCGAGTTGATAGCTGACTGCATGGGCTTTGTGGCATCCAGTCTCTATTTCTTGATCTAATTTTCCATTTTCTGAGAAAATGCTGCCCAAGTATTTGAATTTGCTGCTTTGTTTTAATTGAGATCCATTGATGTTGATACCCACCTTGTCTGGTCTCCTGCTAACCTCTCTTGGTCAAAATTGTCAATACATGTCCATTGTTTAAATGGATAGATATGGAATAAGAACGTCTCTCGAAGTCCAACCCCTCGTCCACGCCGTGGGAGATGGAAACAGGACAAAGTAGGGGATAGCTGGGTCTGGGTGAAGTACGGTGTGACTTTATTTCACTGAGGCGTTACGCTAGCCGTGAAGGCCGACCCGGGTCACCCCGAAACGTTGCTGGCCAACGGGGCTCTGGTGAAACTGCGACTGGCTCAGCAGGCCGGCAGTGGATATAAACATTGCTCAAGAAAACATAAAGAGACACAAACGGACTGATCAAAACGGAAAACGACCTGGCGAGAAAAATGGACAACGATCCAGAAAAAATGAAAAAATAGGGACCTGGAACATTTGCAGCTTGACAAATAAAGAACCTGAGATAGTGGAGTTCATGACCCAGAACAAGATCTCCATCATGGGCATTACAGACATCAGGAAAAAAGGGACAGGCACAAAAGAGATCCACTCTAACTTTGTCCTCATTTGGAATGGGGTAAGAAAAGAACAAAGAGCTGAACACGGTGTGGGTTTCATCATACACCCTGACAAAGCAAAGGAAATATTGAATACGGATTTCAGGATTTCATTTCTGAAAGACTCATCAAAATCAGCATTAGAGAGGGCAAAAAGACCACAGACTACATCCAGGTGTATGCACCGTGCAACGACTCCTACTCAGACGAAGAAAAGGACTCTTTCTTCGAACAACTCTCGGACTTAATTAGCAACATCCCAGACGAGGAAGACCTTTATGTAATGGGAGACTTCAACGGAAGAGTCGGAGAGAGAAGAACACCGTGGACAAAACACCTGGGTCCACACAGTGACCACAGAACACCATGCAATTATAACGGCAACCATGTACTGGAACTGTGTGCAGAGCACGACTTATTCATCACCAACACCTTCTTCCAGCACAGAGCCTCTCAGATCTACACCTGGTACAGATGGAACAACATCATGGTCTCATCACAGATCGACTTCATATTAACGAGAACACGAATGCGGATCACAATCACAGACTCAAGAGCCATCCATAATGCAGGCCTGGACACAGACCACAGGCCAATCATCACAACGTTGACCACCAAGAAAGAAAGAAAACCAAAAAACATAAAAGACAGCAAGAGAGACTAAATATGCATAAACTTGGAGATGATCAGGTGCAGGCTCAGATCAGAAGCACGTTAAATGAAAAACTAGGCTCTATCAACTCTACAATACTAACTGTAGAGAAAGCTTGGGATACCTTCAAAACAACTCTCCTGGACACAATGAAAGAAGTCTGTGGTACCAAGAAAACAAGAGGAAAACACAGAAAAGCAACAGCCTGGTGGAACGAAGAAGTTAAAGATGCTATCAAGGAAAAAAAGAGACTGTATAATGTATGGGTCAAGTCAAAAAACGAAGAGGACTACATTAAATATAGACTTGCAAGAAGACACAGTAAGAAAGTCGTTATAACATCAAAAGAAAAGTCATGGACCCGGTATGGCGAAAAACTAAGTGAAACCTGCAAGACTTCACCAAGAGAGTTCTACAAGAAGGTACAGACAATGAGAACGAGAGACGAACCCTATGTACCCACCACTGTCATCAACGATACTAATGGAGAAGCTCTGCACGAAGAGAAAGAAATAATAAAAAGATGGGAAGAATATTTTCAAGAACTACTAAACCTATCAGGAGTACAGGCACAAAACACACAGTGCCCCTTCACCGCCAACTACCCTGAGCACTCAGAACCTACCATCCAGGAGAGTGAAGAGAGAGAAGCACTGAAGACTAGTCCAAAGAACAAGGCAGCTGGAGACGATGACGTCACAACCGAAGCCATCCTTGCATGCGGCGGAACCAGGAGACATTGGCTTACAATCATCTTCCAGCAAGCATGGAAAGAAAGAAAAGTACCAGCAGACTGGCAACATGCGATAGTGGTGCCAATATGGAAGAAAAGGGGCAGCAAGAAAGACTGCAACACCTATAGAGGCATATCTCTTCTCAGCCATGTGGGGAAAATGTATGCAAAAATCCTAGAGCGACGTACTCGCGCAAAAACCGAACATCTTCTCAGTGACGCCCAATTTGGCTTTAGAAAAGGAAGAGGGTGCACTGATGCAATCTTCGCACTCCGACAACTGTGTGAGAGGGCTTTGGAATACGACAAAGATCTCCACCTCGTATTTGTGGATCAAGAAAAAGCCTTTGATCGAGTAAATAGAAACAAGCTATGGACGATCTTAGAGCAGTACGACATCAAGGGACAACTGCTAGACAACATCAGGGCTATCTATGCCAACAGCAGAAGCGCTGTCCGAACTACCAGTGGAACATCGGACTGGTTTCCAGTAACATCCGGAGTGAGGCAGGGCTGCAATCTCTCCCCTCTGCTCTTCGTGATCTACATGGACCAGATAACAAAAGAGGCCAATCCAGACCCAGAGGCACTCAACGAACTCATGTTTGCAGATGACCTGGCAATGATTAACAACAAGACTCAGCTACAGGAGCATTTAAACCAACTAAATGCGAGCTGCGAAAAATATGACATGAAGATCAGTATAAGCAAGACTGAAGTCATGACAATTAGCAGGAGACCAGGTAAAATGGATATCAACATCAATGGATCCCAACTAAACAAAGCAGAGAATTCAAATACTTGGGCAGCATTTTCACAGAAAATGGAAAATTAGATCGAGAGATAGAGACTAGATGCCAGAGAGCCAACGCGGTCAGCTACCAACTGGGCCCTCTCCTGAAACATCCCAATATCCCCATGAGCACCAAGGCGAAGCTCATCAACGCCATTTTCCTTCCAACGCTCACATATCAGTGCCAGACATGGACTCTAACAAAAGCCCTAGAGAGGAAACTGGTCACATGCGAGATGAAATGCTTAAGAAGAGCGGTCAACAAAACAAGAAGAGACAAAATTAAAAATGAAGTCATAAGGGACACCGTGGGAGCAACACCAGTCCTACCACACATTGAAAAACAAAAGGTCAAGTGGTTCGGACACCTCACGCGGATGCCCTCAAACCATCCAGCTCTGAGAGCATACAACATTAAATATTCTGGATGGAGAGCCAGAGGAAGACCAAGGCGACGATGGAGTGAATCTGTGGCAGACACCCTTAAAGATCATGGGATGTCCCTCCTACAGGCCACACGACTTGCTGCAGACAGACACCTGTGTCTCCCCGCGACACCCCAGGGTACAAGCGGAAGAAAAAAGTAAAAGTAAAGTATGGAATAAGAACAGCTTATAAAGGGGGGTGTGTGGGGGTGGGGGTGGGGGAGGTCTGTAAATTTGACCGCCAATCAGGCATGACACAAAAATTGGAATAAATGAGTTACGTAGGCCTACCAAAGATTGTACATAAGATAGTTCACTCGGCCAAAAAAGTGTTCGAGGATGTCCGCGCATGGGTTCAGATTGCGCAACCGCTCTTCCGGTTCGCTCAGTGTGGAGTTTTTTGGGTTTCTTCAGAGAGGTTATTATAGTACTAGAAGTGGCAGCTGGCTGTGGCGTCACCCACGTAAACCTTATATGGCTGTGTGGGCCCAGCTCAGCTCGCTTTGTTGCCATTTTTGAGAGGATTAGAAACAGCTTGGTCACGCTGCGCATCCCTTGCAAAGCCTAGGTCTTCATAGACTTTGAAGCTCAGTTCAGTCTTCTTTAAAGCTTGCTGCTGTTGTTTAATCATATAACATACACGCATACACAATACCGCACCTGCTGACAGATTGTGGGAAACATAAATGAACATACATGTGGGCTACAAATAAGCAGGGAGAAATACTATGAAGTATTGTTTGTTGTCCCCGGGAGGGGTGGGGGAGGGGCGGAGGGAGACATTGTGGGTAACTGAGTTTGACAAGAAAAAGGACAATTTCCTACTTACAAAATTGATTGCTTTTATATCATGTTGTCTACACTCTCCTTTTGCTGATGCAAAGCCTTGGTCTTGATAGAGTATGAAAGGGGTTAAGATTGAGTTAATTCTTGAATATTTTAATTCGTTACTGTCTCAAAATGAGCAATGCAGTTAAGTACACAGGACAAGGCAAGACAGTGTGCTGAGGCTGATCTACTTCAGTCTGTTCTATGTTCGACAGATTAACCCGATCCGTACTTCGTGTTGTACTATCGTATCCATACGACGTGGGGAACTCTGTGTCCCCACTTTCCAAAAAGGAAATTTACTGGATAATACGATCCGTACGCTTTGCATAGCAGTCTGTCAAAATGATTTTTTGAGAAATACTGTATCAAAAAGATCTTCGCACTTCGCACTAGAAGTATTCTAAAATGTGAAGAATACAACCCCTGGGGTACAAAATGACCCCTGTGGTACACCAGGCGTACGGATAGGGTTAAGCAAGCTAGTCAAAGAGGAAGCACAGTGCGTGCAGCCTGCAGCTCATATTGCAGAACTAAAAGAGATAGACGAGAAACAAGTAAAAACAAAAAAACAAAAAAAATCCTCCTACAGTAGCAGAGCAAGTCTCTGTGGCGATGGAAATAGCCAAGTCCTGCCCAACAATCAAGAAATACAACTCATTGTATATTATATTATAATAATTTGTGAAGTTTGGTTGTGAATTACTTCCCTTCAGTGTGCACACTGTTTGAGCTTTTTTGTTTTTGATGAAGCTGTCACCAATTCTGTTACTCGAATGATACAGTGTCTGCGATGACACACTGAGACAAGATCATCCCGAAAATAAGACTGGTCATCATAATGTGTATGATGATGCTACTGTTGCTTTGTCAGAAAATGTGGAAGAGGAATGATCAATATGATGGATTTTGTGTTGTTAGTTTTTTGTTTTTCTTGTTTTCATATTTCTTTTAAATGGAACTGATTTCAAGTTTCATGTGACTTTAATGATTTATTGAGCTTAGCATGCTTGTAATGGCATTTAACTTCAAGACTTCTTCTGTTAGATTTACAGAATATAATATATTTGGTGAATAAAATTGAAATTAGCCTTGCACCAATATTTCAAGAGCACGAAATGAAACTTAATCTTGACTATAGTCTTGAAATGCGTTTTGATTAATTGAAGAAAAAATAAATATTATAGTCAAACCTTGTTATACCCTTACCTTGGGACGAGGATGAAATTGCTGATTTAGTGGGGTAGGCAGGGTTTTAATACTGTCCTATGCTGATTGGCGCCGATTGCTCAGCGGCAAGGGAAATGATTCTGCTTTGACTACATGAAGGACAATATTATGAGTTATTTCCTCTATATCCAAAACATGATGAGATGGCTTTCAGACAGACCTTTCTACTGTAATTTTTCTTTCTTCCCCCCCCCCCCCCCTTTTTGTGGGGTGGATTATTAGCTGGTTGAGTTGTGTACCGGAGACAGGGACATTATCACTTCTCTACGCAGCTGCCCAGTGGGTGCCTTGTTTTGTGTGTACCTCAGGCAGCCATTTCACTGGCTTGTTGCATGGCAAATTTGCATAAATTATGTCTATGGACTGTACCTCTCAGACAGTTGGCGAATGGCAGTTTAAAGGGGCAGATAGGAAGCGGGGCTTATGGTATATATCCGGGGGGGGGGGGGGGGCGGGGGGCTGTAATAAAAAGTTATTCTTGTTCAAAGATGCGAAGCTTAAATGTAACCAAAAGGTCAATTGAATAAAGAGTAGGCCCTATTCAAGACCTCTGATCGGAACTCACTTGTATGTATTTCACAAATTCAGGTTATTCTGCTCCTTTTCTCAAAATCATCTAAACATGACTTGACCTTGGTTTAAACTTTTTCAGTGGGTAGTAAATTTTGAATTTTCCTCTACTCTTATCGATTTTAGACCATCAAGGGACCTTTATTGTGCGCAACTTGCGTACGGGTCCTCCGAGATATTTCGCCCTTGTCCGAGAAGGCTAGGTGTAGATCTTTTTTTTAATCATAAGATCAGGGTTGTGGCAGAAAGACAGCAGTAAAACGGAGCCGAGGAGTAGCAGTAGAAAGTGGAGACGAAAGCAGACGACCAAATATTTGTAGAGAGCAGGAAAGGAGGTCAAAGGAGACAATTTAGACAAGAAAAATGTCCGTCGCTATCTGGGTTTGAATATGGGATCTATCGAATGAGAGACTAACTCCTTAACCTCATTGCC